GACAAATTATTTATACCTGCTTAATGCAAAATACTCCAACCACTCTTTTAACTTTAAAAAAAAAAAAAAACAAAAAAACCAAAAAACCACGAACAACAGGGGCTGCTTTAGGAAAATGTGTAATGATTTTTTTTAGTTCTGATTTAGATCCTTTTATTATTCTCCCTTAAGTTCAAATTGTTGGCTCTGTCCAGCAACTGATCTGGCCTGACTGAGTTCTACTGTTACTTGCTTTACATCAAGCTATGTCCACCTTTGTTGTTTACGTGCTACAGCTATGCATGTGGTATCCTCTGCCATCCTTCGGGTGTCAAATTCCAAAGTCTATAAATCTCTCCTCTCACTTTTAACACTTGTTCCAATTTATATGCAAGAGCAGAAATGCAATTTTAAACTGTCCATCAATGGTTTTGCTAAGAATTTCCTGTATAGTAAAAAAAGAAAAAAAAAAGGAAAAAAAAAAAAGAGGGAAAAAAATGTTGTCCAAGAGAACTACTAGTTTTTGAAATATAAAGATCAACTGACAGAATCAGATTTGAGATTTCAACTTTTATAAAGATGTTATGACAGGTGAATTATAGTTATATTTTATTTTGGGTTTGGTCATGAGGCTCTGAGAAGTACCACACCCATGCCTGTTGGACAGCGTTGTAAGTTGTCTTAGGCCTAACTTCTGCATGTTATACACCTGCCTCTGTTGCCATGTGACATTGCCCTCCCACTACCTCATAGCCTCTTTTGTCTCTGGGTAACAGTGCTGCCAAAGTGATAGCGGTATGCTGATCAGCTGTGTGCCATCAACTTGGCAAGTCAATTCTTATAACAGCAAGAGTACTAAGAATCTAAAAATCCCATTGTTGACTTTGCTACTGATCAGAACTTAAGTAAAAACAAGAGATGATGCAAGTATTATCAATATACTCTCCTAATTATGATAATACTAAAGGTAACAGAACAAGAATCTCCAGGAAATAAAACTGTTCCGATAGCAGGTCTCCCAAAAAGTTATAGTCTTGAAGCAGTTCTTAAAAGACAATTTTTTTAAATGTTTTAACATAATTAAATAATTAAGTTATAAGATAAAGACTACCACTACGTCTTTGAGAAGGAATAACTGTATTTGTTATAATCAAGAACGTATGTTTGAAGTATATCTGTTGTAGCTTAAAAAGAAATCTGTTCTGCTTTTGTTTTAAGTTTTGATTATTTAAAATAAAGTTCTCTCAAATTTTTTGCTGAGGTACTAGCAAAGTAGCTATACAGTACTTGTCATTACTGAAGGATATACAGACATGCTGGAGAGCTGCTGTAAATTAAACTAGACATAGCTAACTCCCACCAGCTAAAGGCTATCAGGTTGACTGCTCTTCCTCCCCATCCCTACATCCTCCTCCTCCTTCTCTTAACCAATTCACATTTCATTAAAAAAGGCAACGCCAAAAACAAGCAAACAGAAGATGACTGTGCAAAAAATATTTCACACAATAAAAATATTTCACACAATTTCCCTCCAACACTTCCAGTACCAGGCAATCAACTTCACAAAAAGGCATGAGGAACCAGCTGAAGCAGATACATAGAATCTGAACATTCTCAACTCTGCAAGAATTTCAGCCAAGGGTTTAAAACAGCACTGTGGTCACATCTGCAGTGTCAGAGTTCCTCACACCTCTAGTAATTTCCTCCATTAAAAGTATGCTTCCCTGACACATTAGCTACAGCACACAGTACACCGAGACCTCACTTAAGCAAAAACTCCCCACTGGCCTATCTTTAAACATGTTACAACAGATCCGTTTAATCTTAAATTCAGTGTTGGAGTTCACAAAAGAAAATGGGTGAGTTGTGTTCAAATCTTATATGGTACAAATTGTGTTACTACCATTTGAAAAAAATATAACCCACATAAACAATTAGCCAATGAGGAGAAACAGTATATTAAGATCGATTTGAAGAACAATCAATTAGCAAGACGCCAGAAATGCATTCCAGATTTTGACTTCCTCTATGGTCAGTCAATAATTAAGTATTGAACAATTTAAAAGAAAATGTATCATATTTGTGCATCTGAACTTCTGTGCTTTTAGAAGAGATATGGCAACAGTTCAGTTTTGAACCTCTTTACCACACTCTTCAAACTGAGATCTGTTTAAAAAAAAAAAACAAAAACCAAACCACAAACCAAAAAACATAACACTAAACCCCACAACTTTGGTACAGTTTTGAAATCTGGAAACAAACTATTTGTATATTTGAGATTTTTTTAATATAAACAATTTATTTATATTGGTTTCAGAAGATGTTTCTTAGTTCCTCAAACTATATATGGATTAATTGGATGTGTCACACATGAATAAGTCATGCTACTCACTTTAATGAAAGTCAATATGATATATCTACTGTGGTCTACAAGGATTTACTGGAAGTATCGTACAAATTATACTGGCTCAATTTTATCCCTATTACAACCACACTGAAATCAGTTTAAGAAAAAATTTAACTTAGGCAAAGCCCACCCCTCTCCACAACGCCTGAAGAGTACATATGAAACTTCAAAATCTGTTCATGCATATCTTGACTTATACTCACTATACAGCCTTCTTCTGCCTATATCTGCGATTACGACATACTTTCAAAATCAGTGCCTCAATGATTGCTCACTCCTCGTATTTTGATTTTCTTTGTAGGTATCACGTATCTCAGAGGGAGCTGCAGTGAAGTGTTATTCATGTCCCCCGCCCACCTTGTGAAGTTTGTATACCTTCATTATCCAATATTGGCCATAAGCTATCAGATGTCAGTGACTATACCACTCAGAATGATGCATCTCAAATTGTTTTGTCTTTTGGAGTAGAAGAGTGGAGTGTAGGAAATAACTTCTTTGGCAAGAAAACACTCAAACCCCTCAAAGATTATCTGAAAATAGAAAATAACAACCTTGCTCCAAAACTGTACAAGCAAAATACAATCTAGAAATTAATACATATTTTATTTACATTAATTAAAGGGAGCTATGCAATAGCCCGTCTGTTACAACACTCATGAGTAATGCAGTTACCTTAAATCATATAAACAAAGTATTTTCAGATATGTACTGTTGGCGTATCTAATATACTGCACAGTACTCAGGATAAATGTCAATGAAACAAACACTTCATGGCAAGCAAGAAACATCAGTGTTCCTATTTTTTTTCTTTACATTGTTCAAATAGGCTCCAGAAATAAAAATAACAGAATCATATGAGGGGGAAACCCCCAGAAGAACATGCATTCATACCAAACTGATCACTGAAAAAGCTTTTCACACCAATCCTGCAAGGTTACAGAAGATTACTATCATGACAAAAACCAACTGAATTCAAAACCAACTGAATTCATACAAAAAAACCCAAAGAGACAACAAAACCCCACACAAAATAAAGGGTTTGTACTTGTAATCTTCAAACAAGTTAATGCCTGTTTTCCTTGTCCATGCTAATATTGTGGTAGGATTTAAATACAGATATCTGAACATGTTAATATTCAGCTACAAGAACAGTAGTTAGCTATCAAACTGGTGACAGATTATCCCCCCCCAATTAATAATCATTCGTATGATGACACATACCAACATGTAAGCACATGTAGCAAAAACCTCTTAAAAAAGCCAGAGCTCAGATTTGTGTGCTTTCTATGTTTTAACTGTACTGAGAGAAGGCACTGACCTTCTTGATTCACAATGGGAGAATACTCTGCTTACAAGCTTACTACTGTGAAGCCTTGTTGTTAGTGTGAAGAATCACAAAAACATGTGTAAGAAGGCAGATGGGATTCAATACCTTTCTCAACATTTGAAACGTGATCTCTTCAATAGTTCATCAGTTCTTGTCGTTTCCCCAGAAGCGTAAACAACTAAGTTTAAGATTCACTAACAAGCATAAAATACTCTGCAGGTTAGTGTGAAGGGAGAGTAATACTCCATGAACTAGTTGACAGACGAGCTTTTTTCAGGTTTCATCTTTAAAGGACTCTACTGTGCCATCTAGGATTTTCAAGTAATAAAGACAATTTATCCTTGTAATGAGACCATTTCTATCCAGAGACCTCAGGTGGCTGTACCACAAGAAATATTTTTCTGTGTATCCTGAAGTCAATGTGACTGTGATTGCAAATTACTCACTAACATAAAGAATGGCAGACTGTTGCATTATGCAAACCCATACCACATTCTTGTGCATCCCTGTAAATGCAGCTACTTTCCTGTTTTGATTGTACTGTACACTGTAACAATGGGTTTCAGCTATTCAGAAAACTCTTACACAGTATACAGGTCACCTCAATCCATTTCCTTGCTGTTAGAAGTAACATGAAAAATGCTTTCAAACATCATCTGAGACAGGTATGCTTAGAAGTACCTTAAATCCTCATAAAATATTCACTAGAGCTGTCCACAGTATCAGTTCTATTGTAGTCCCAAACACAGTTAAGTCATGTACTACTGCTGCAGGAATAGATGTCTGGAAGGAAATCTCTTCTTTCCCACATAGGTTGAGTATTTTCAAAGTCCCATGCATGAAGAAGAAAAATAATAAGGGGGGGAAATCACAGCTAGAATTAAGAAAAAGCTATTTTCTTTTTAGCAATTCTAGAACTACACTATAGTCACCGTGAGATAAATGCTCTAACCTCCATCTGCACCATCCCAATCTTTCTCCTCCCACATCAGCACTGAATTTGCGGGAATAGAAGACTGAATAAACCGAGCACATTAAAAAATATTTCCAGTTAGGAATAGACTTGCGAGTGGTTTGGGAACAGTACCGACATCCTATTTACCTCAGATTTGACCAGTCTGGGACCTCTTAAGTTTCACCTTTCTCTACCATTTCGGAAATACCCTGCCCAATTACCGGAGCAACACTTTTCTTCTGGAGTCCAGGCTGGTAGCGAGGTAGCCTAACAGAACATCTAGCCAGAGGTGTAGAAAGACAAAAAAAGGGGGGAAATAGAAGCTGGCTTACGTGCTCCAGTTTGTCTTTCCTCCTCAGCCAGACACTGGCACTGTAGTCCTGCTGCTTGACAGTGCTGTAGAAGTTCGCACCTACTCTGGTGAGGCTTGGGGAAGGCTCCCTGGGTCTGCTCTTCAGCCTCATCTGCTCGAAGCCCTCATGGGGGGATGAGGAGAGCCAGTCATGCCTGACTTCCATCTTGACATGACAAGGCAAAGTCCAAGGAAAAAAACCAGAAGAAAACAAGAAATTAGGAGGCACTAGACGAAGAGGGTCCAAAAAAGAACAGGATGGGGAAAGAAGAAAGAGAAGGAGAGCAAAACCGCCCCCAAAACCGGAACATGGGGAAAGAAGGGGGAGAAAAGGAGCAGCGAGCAGGTGGGAGGAGTGGAAGGAGAGAGAAAGGCTGCAGGTGCGAGCGAGGAGCGGGCAAAATATCATTCAGAAAACTGACAGATAATGAAGTTATCCTTTCAAAATTCCAAGGATAAAGGCAAAACTCCCATCACACCCCATAACCAAGGATTGTTATTAATAGCTTATACTAGTATCTTCCTAAAATGCCAGGAACATAAATTGAACAACAGGGGTTTGGTAGCAACATAGAGTAGAGCATTTTCCTCTCAAAATAAAAAGGCAATTTCATAATACTTAGCTAAATGCTACTACAAAAATATTTTTTTTAAAAAAAGTTATATATTTTTACTCCCCAGTATAAAAGACTTCTGACTTGCTTTCTAATAGCTTCCTCTCTCATGTCTTCATAACTGAAGTAACGAGTAAATCTGGGCATTTCCAAGGTCATCAATATACTCTCATAACACCTGAAGGAAAAATTAGGACCATATATGACTCAACTGCATGCAGGGTACACCTGAAGGCACTGAGGTTTATTGTATGGCATATCACAGCTGCAGTAGTTTTAATCTCACACAGAATAACTTGATTTGAAACCTGCTGAACCAAACTTTAGCTGCAGATGCCCATTTAGGAATTGTATATGCTCACAGATGCACCTACTACCTCAGGACTGAAATACATGCTGTCAAAAGAAAAAAAAAAAAAAAAAAAGAAAGAAAAGAAAGAGCCTCTGAGCTTCTTTAAATATACCATCGGGCTGATGTTCTCAGAAAAAGTTTGCATGTGCTGTAAATAAGGACAGCCTGGTTTTGCATGAGAAGTTTCACATTGTTTCTGTAGCAGTATATAAAGCACTTCAACCTCTTCCTTATTCCTCTGGGCTTTCTTGTTTATGCTGCCTGCAAATATTTTTTTAAAAAAGTTTTTAGTAGCATTCTGCAGTTGCCACCTGCTTTCCTCACCATCCCTTAATACTATGACAGGCCAGAATCAATATGCCACTATGCTTCAGTACAATATGTTGTTCCATTCCTCCATATATATTGTTTGTTGGGTTTTTTTAACTTAGCTTTTTTGTAGAGTTAGTTTATCTTAGCTTCCCTAGTGACACCACTAGCAGACTTCTCAGTTGCCAGATTAACTTCTTTCCGCCTATCCAGCATAGTCACAAAATGGAGTGCTGAAGCTTCTTTTAACCCCCTAGGCTATAAACTTGGTTTGCTCACCTTTCCAAACATCTTCTTGCATGGCACTTAGATGTGCTGCATGTGCCTTTTTACTACTACTGCTGTGAACATTAATATTACCCCAGTCCTATTCTCATTAGGAATGAGAGAGAAAAGGAAAAAAAGAAGCTTGGGACAAGTATATTAAAATCATATGAGTAAACTATGCTTACAAAGCCTTTGTTGCTCCCTAACCCAAAGCAGGAAAGAAGATTTGGGGTGGGAAAAGGTAGTATAATGACTATGAATTTTGGTGTTTTCATAAAAATTTTACTTAGGCAAAGTAAAAAGCTAAAAATACAATGACAGTCCTTAGTGAATAAAAGAGCTGTTTCCCATATTTTCTCTTTTTCTTTTTCTTTTTTTTTTTTTTTTTTTTTTTTAGTTCCTTCAAACCAGAACCACAAGCATATCAACAAGCTTAATTAAGAGATAATTTCTGTAGTAGGTCAGCGATTCCAATGAGGTGCATGATCTGGATTAAACTACTGTCTTTTTCTTCCATGCAATTTCCAGAATTACCAAAACACCTGCTCTTGTCAAGGCCCTTTGCTTACATGGATGACTACAGCAGCAAGGATGACTGAAATTGCAAACATTGTACTAACATCATTAGCAATAGATGCAAGTCATGCATATCATAACATGATTTTACTTTACTGTGGTTCACGCTACAATTTAATTCACTGCCCAACTTAATCATAGAATAATCCAGGTTGGAAAAAACCCTTGGGATCATCGAGTCCAACCATCAGCCCCACTCTACAATGTTCTCCCCTACACCATATCCCCCAGCATCTCATCTAAACAACCCTTAAACACATCCAGGGATGGTGACTCCAACACCTCCCTAGGCAGCCCATTCCACTCTCTGACCACTCTTTCTGTGATTTTTTTCCAAATGACCAGTTGGAACCTCCCCTGTTGGAGTTTAAATCCATTCCCCCTTGTTCTGTCACTAATCACCTGTGAGAAGAGACCAGCACCAACCTCTCTACAGTGTCCTTTCAGGTAGCTGTAGAGAGTGATGAGGTCTCCCCTCAGCCTTCTCTTCCTCAAACTGAACCATCCCAGCTCTTTCAATTGCTCCTCACAGGATTTGTTCTCCAGGCCCTTCACCAGCTTTGTTGCCCTTCTCTGCATTCACTCCAGCACCTCGATATCACTCTTGTATTGTTAATATCAAGACTAAGAGAAAATCTGTCCAGGCAATCTACAGAACTTCCCATTTTCTATACCAACGGGATGAATGCTGTAGGGGACAGAGTTAACTCAGGGTAATGCAAAGAAAATAATCAGGATGTAAGTGGAAACATGTAGGTAGGGCTACTATATATATATATATATATATATATATATATATATTTATTTATTTATTTTTAAAGACAGCTTCTTTTTCTTCCAAAAATCTTGTCCAGACAAATGTTAAAGGAGCTGCTCCCTGTGCTTCAGCTTTCTAAACACTTTTTTTAAAATTATTTTTTTATTCAGGAGTTCTAGCAATACAGCACATCTACAAGAGCATTAGGCCTTTTATCAACAAATAGCTTACACCTCAAACATTAAAACCTCCTATAGCAAAACTTTATTATGGCTAGATAGCTAATATACATGCATGCATGCACCTGTAATAGATTCAAGGCCTCCTTACAAAGTACTAATTTATGCTGCAGAGCTGGACTGCACACAAGCCCTGGCCCACTTTTTAGAATTTACTACACCTGACCAAAACAGCAGGCAGCAATTGCCTGCAGGCTTCAGCTGGTCTCCAGTCAGAGGACTGTGACTGACATCAGCTTCAATAGCAGCACTGCACCTGGCAGCCAGGCAGAAAGCAAACTACCATCTTCTTACCCAGCTCAGCTGAACTTGCTTTCTCATCTAGGAATTGCCAACAAGGCTTAGCTAGGAAGATCTTTTTAACAACCCAACAACACCGGCATGTCCGAGATTGAATTACTAGCCTTTCAAACAATTTTAGAATTACCAAAGCACCTGCTCCTGCCTAGCCATCCAAATTCTAGCGACCTACAAAGAAAAAAAACCATTGCAGTCATCTGTTTCCTCCTCTATGCTGATAGGCTTGCCATGCATATCTCCCAGTCTACCTGTTCCTTCCTCCTGGAAGTAGTTGCCAATCCCTGAAAAATGGATTTGCCATAGGGAAGGACCAAAGAGGGAAAACAAAACCTCAAACTTTTTCCCTGCAATGCGATCCCCTACAGTACTATGCACAGGGTCAGCATAGCAAGATTTACTAGTTGCAAATTAGGAAAACATTAAGAAAAAAGCTGGAGTGCTACATGGAGAGTTGTGACTAATTTCTACATTGTTGCCTTCCCAAATTCTATGCAGCATAACATGCAACCTTTGTACAGAGTATCTGTATCTTCAGTTTATGGACAGGAACTGAAGTCACGAGTATATAATGGTAGGGTTGAAGCTAAGGTTACACTGAAGATTTAGATTTGGAAGTGCTTTAGATTTCAGATTAACATATCAGGCACCTACCAGAAATAACATGGAAACATTGTCTAATACTGATAATGTTCCCTGCCTTAGCCTCCTCATCTCTTTCTGGATGGAGCTATTAACCAAACTCTTTTGTGTCTCTTGCCTCACATTTTAAATCTGAAGTCTTCTTTGCATAATCATTGATTTGAAAAAAACCCAACCAAACAAACACACAAAAACCAACTGCCTGTCAAGAACATCATTGCTCTTGAGACACTTCCCCTCTGTCAGACTTGGTTGAAATCAGCCATGTGTTTCAGAATATACCAGTCTGGGACTGACAGACAAATAGTATAATTATATAAGCTCTGTTTTCTTTAGAAACCAAATAAAAATATCTGAGTGATCAACTAGTTAATCTCCCCTTTGAAATAAAAGATCATCCTGTAAATATAATTAAAATTTGAAATTAACCTAGAACTCCAGGGCTAGAATTTTCCTCCAATGGCATCATTTCCACCTCCATATAATCTAAGAGGGCCCTAAACTTGCCCCTTGGCTCCATCATGTGCTGAAAGCATACCAGTGTGGACTGGGATGCTCTCACTTTCGTCAGGGATTGTGACGGAAAATATGATATCTTTCATCTCAAATCCAACTTTGCCTTCTCTTTTTCTCCTCTCTTTCATCCCTCCCTCCACACCCATTCACACCTTGCCAAAGAACATTTTCAGTTCTGGGCCTCAGTAATTTGTCCAGACAAGATATTTCATCCTGCACCTTAAAATAACATTCATTAGTGGCACATACTAATGGGGCCAGATTCTGTCCTCCATTACACCTCTATGTCCCCACTGGAGTCACGAGACAAAAATAATTGTATAATGAAAGTGTAACTAGGGGGCAAAATTTGGCCTACATTTCTTTAAAATAAATCTGCAGCAAGTAATGCCTGTCCACCTCCCCTGAGAATGAGACCCTTTACATTTGTGAGAAGGGTGCTGGCTTTTTTTGCTGTTTACTGGATATGTTCACATTTATCTCAGCTTGGGTTCTTCATGCTGTATTTATTTGGTTGGTGCAGCTAAATACAATAGGCAGTCTGCTGACAAGATCTAAGCTCTTGAGTACTCTTGCTCTGAAGTGAGTAGTTAAAAT